AGCTTCTTATCTTCCCATTGTCTGCCCATACCATTTATTCCCCATTTTCATGAAAAAAAATTCTGTATGTATTAAGGCTTTTGTCTTAATACCATCCAACCCCTTATTGGTTGCTGTAATCATGAAGCAGTGTTCTTTCTCCAGACTCCTCATCATGCCTTAAAGATCTTACTCTTGAAATCAATCTCATTACTTCAACCATCAATTAGAGTAACACAGTCATTTGCTTGGACCATGCCACTTTTGATGGAATGTTTAGGTAGGCTTTGCCATGGTCATGACATTTGATCAGGCTTTGAATAGAGAATTGGTAAGACAAGTTGATACCTCAATGCAAGGAAAATTAAATTTGAGGTAGTAAAAATGGTGCGAGTGTCATGTATGACCTCCTTTGGCCACATAAAGAAGGAGAGTCCAACTTCTTCTCATCCCAAGCCTTATTGCCAGAAGGCAGAGGTCAGACATGATTCTACTCTTGGTGCTTCTTTTCCTCTATTCTGACACCAACAGTTGCTCCCACAAGACTGTATGTTTCTTCTGGGAAATTGATAATCTTTTGCAATGGCCATACAGAAACAAAGACAGTATAATTATGGGAGTTAATTAGCGGAGTATGTTTGTCTGGGTAGATTAGAGAAACAAATCCAGGAAGACCCATATATGTATAAGAAAGAGATTCATATACAAGAGCAGTTGAATATTGAGAAAACATCCCAGCCCAGTCCAGATCAAGTCCATATGTTCAATATTAGCCTATATGTCTGATACCAATCTATAAAGTCCTCTTCAGATTCAAGAAATACATGCAATAATGCTGAATGCAGGAGGCTCACAGGCCAGTGGGTTGGAGGTCTTGTGGATCCAGTGGCATTGTAACCATCTCAGTCTGCAGGGGTCTCTACGTGGCTTCTCTGGCTCCAGAGGTCTAGTTGCATCAGGGTATGTTCATGTGGTTTCTCCAGCTCCCAGGGCATAGCACCATGTGTCTTGTCAGTAGATTGTCTCTCAGAGAGTGAGCAGTGAGAGAGTCTCTCCCATCTCCAAGGAAGAAATCCAGGAATTCCCAGAATTCTCAGGGGAAGATCATGCCCGCACAGAGGCCTTATTAGCTATGACCTGACTGACAGACTAGACTCCACCCCTTCACTCTTAATCCTCTCAAGTCCCAAAGTGACACCAGATTATGTCATTACCACAGGTAGTTAACAGGTTCCCACAATCCAAGATCAGAAAACATGAAGGATATAGCCTTGGTCCACAGAAACATCCCTCCACAGCCATGTGGTTCCTTGGCCTCTACCTCCAAACACCAGGAAGCCATCCCTCGGCTTTGTCTCAGAGTTTCATATTTTCAGCACTGCCCCTCTGTCCTATCTCCTGGTCTCTTTACCGAGACCTCTGGTCTCATGCTGGCTCCTTTGGTCCCATGGTCTCTGTGCCCCTGGTGTCAGCCACTGCCGTTTCATAAGGAGATTTCAAATGGTCTCCACTGGTGGCTTTTTTCCTTGATGGTCCTAAGATGTCCCTCTGTTCCTGCTTCTGAGATGGCTCATTTGTAGAGCCAGGGGAATGGCAATTCAACTGACCAACTCTCTTCATTAGTATTTAACATGCCCTCTATGCATGGCCCATGCAAACATTTGGTGGGATTTAAAGAGACATGGATAAAAGAGGCATATCAAGAAATTTCACTTTCCCACATAGGTCAAGAGTAAATACATGTTGAATTCCTTGTTCTTAACAAATATATATGTAATCAGTGAGAAGGATTTGTTTACAATTTCTAAGCAGATGATAAAGAATAGGGTTTTTAAGTGGTAGAAGTATGTTTTCTTATCACTAGAATAAAATTATCGTGGATTGAACACATATGAAATTTCTGGAAGTTTGAGTCCTGAAGTTTATATAATTTTGTAGAGTTTATAAAAATAATAGTTGAATAAATATTTCACCTTTCTAAATTTTACCAAAGCATATGACAAGGGGAAAATATTTCCAGAGGCTTGGATAGTTTCAGACTGAAACTTCAGCTTCATTAGCATTATGGTACATCTATCTCTGCAGGAACTTTGCATTCGAGAGAAAATCATTATTCTTCCTATTGTCCCTTCTGTTTATGACCTAATAAGGAAATGGCAGTTTGAGGTTAACACAGTGTTTTTTCTCGGCAAGCACCTAATTAATAATTGTACTATTCCATTCCAGCATGAGAAAACCAGGCCATTTTGGTGATATGGATAAAGCACTTGGGTGAAATTCAAGGACTCTAATTTTAGTTCTGTCATTTGCTAGCTGTGGGAGCAAAGGACAAGCCAACCAATCAATCTGACACTTTCTTCTTTTCATAGGAAAGGGTTGCATCAAAGCAGTGCTTCACTGACCATCTTTAACGTTTTCACCATATTAGAAAAACACCTATAATATAGTTTTCCTTACAGTGGTTTATTTTTTATTGCTCTTTTTTAATACTTGAATCTATTTAAACTGAACTCATCATATTTATTGATGCTTAGAAATAAGAATTGATATTGAAAATCTGGCAAATCAGTTTAATAAAATTTAGAAATATCATTATAGTCCAGCAACATTTTCTAGCTTGTAGAAATCTTTGAGCCCAAGGACTTTTTTCCACCTTTATTGCAAGAGATAACAAAGTACATGGGATTGATATTAGTTGGATTCAACTCAACAGCAATGAATTTGGTTTGATTGTTTTAACCAAATACCACGCTATTGGTAAAGATTTCATTAGCAGCAACTGGGTCCTTTTAATAATGGAATTAATGAATTGGAATTACAAAGGAAACCATTCTAAGACTTAACTTTACTTAGTGCTTTGTCTATCTACCACATATGGTAATTTTGGATGCCACTAGATTAGAGACCGTAATCTAGGAAAATATTATTTATTGATTATCATTTGTGATTTTGTGATTTAAATGTGTCTACTAAGTTTCGAAGCAGAGTCAGTGTGATGGTTAGAGATTCTGTCAACTAGACACTCCTGGGTAAGGGTAGGGGTAGAGCCCAGCTATCAATAAGGTGGCAGTCAATGACATCTCCTTACGAGTGTGAGATTTCGTATAAGAGAGAGAGACTGAGCAGAGTCCCATCCTCGTTGTCCTTTTGCCTTTGGCTGGAGCTGAATCTTGCATCTGATTCCTTGATTTCCTGTTCTGTTACATGCCCATCCCAGGAGCTGTCAGCAGACTACTCATGATAGATTCATTGGGCCAACTTTGGATTCATAATGACCTCGCCATCTGCCAGCCTTTCTCTCCACACCACCACCACCCAACCCAGCCCCACACTCCACCACTGTCTCTTCTAGTCATCTTGATCCAGTTCATCAGCTTCCATGAGTCAGGAGAAGCTTTACTTGAACTAGACTGGATTTAACTGTTTCTACAAATGTGTAAGCCATTTCTGGATGTAAATATATTTCTATTTATGAAGTACACATGATCTCATTGCGTCAGTGCCAACTCAATAACTACAGCAGCAACATGAAGACGCCTCCCATCGTGTGATGTTATGTGAGCATCCTGTCAGTTGGAAGAGGGATTTCCTTGGCAATGTGGCCTATATCCATTATTTTAAAAAAAAGAAAAAGAAAGAAAGAAAAGGATGTCCTATAAAAGATCTCTCTAGATCCTGCATTCATTTTGCATTTTCTGACCTCTTATTCTTGAGACATAGGAGGCCTTCAACCTGCTACTTGGCCCACAGATGTGGGACTTGTGAACCCTTGTAATTGGCCCACAGATGTGGGACTTGTGAACCCTTGTAATGGAAGTGAACCTACCTCCATCACTTCTCTGTCAGTTTGTCACACTGTGGTGGTCCTCCTCTTGGTCTGATGCTGGGATCTACGTCACTAGAATTTCAAATACCAGCAGTCACCTAAAGGGACCAAGTTTCAGTAGAGATTACAGACAATGAAGAAGGAATAGGCTGTCCACTTCAGAGGAATTAGCCACTGAAAACTTTATGGATAGCAAATGTGCTTATTCAAAGAGAGGAAGATTTGAAGCACTTGCTGCTGAATATCAAGGATGTCCATATTCAGTATTCTAATTGCTATACTGAATCCATTGGTGTGCAAAAGCCTTCGTGCCACAGTGGTTTCAGCCCAGCAGCCACACTATAGGAGAGAAAGGTCTGGTAGTTCCCCTAACTTAAGTATCACAACCTGTTACATCCTACGAGGGAGCTCTCCTCTGTCATGCTACTGTCAGAATGAATTGGACTGCAACCACTATTTTGTTTTGTTTTGCTTTTTAAAAATTTTTTAAATAGTTAGTGCAAATTGTTTTGTGCTAAACTTCTGATTGAAAGACTGATCAGTTGAATCCATGGATCAGAACCACAGAAAGATGCATTGATCTGATCCCATAAAATGAGAGTCAGGGTAACCCTGGGGACAGTTCTATTTTTATTATTTGAGGTTTTCAGGAGTTGGAATCCACTCCATAGGAACAATTATTTATTTTCTAACCATGTTAATTTTCACACACATTTCTTCGTAAAACATTCAATAACTCGTGTCAAAATTCAACCCTTACCTTACCTTAATGTGATATTAAGATTGGCTTATTAACAATTTTTATATGCTGATTACACGACCTTCATTGGTGAAAGTTAAGACTTAAAATATTTATGGCTAAAGATCTAAGACTGTAATATTCAGTATGCGTTGCAACTCAATGTTACAAAAAAACAAAACCCACACACTGGACCAACCGATAAGTTATGATAAAGAAAACATTGATGTTATCCAGGATTTTATTCAATTTGATGGCACGATCAATACTCATGGAAGCAGCAGTCAAAAATCAAATGATATATTGCAAGGCCAAATCTGCTGCAAAAGCCTAAAGTGTGTTTGACCAAGCCATGTTCTTTTCTTTCTTTCTTTCTTTCTTTCTTTGTTTTTTAATACTTGATATTTATTTTTTTCTGAGATACACCATATTATAATTCAACTAGAACACCACTCCAAAAATATGAAACACTTCACAAATTTGCATGCCATCTTTGCACAGGGGCCATGCTAATCTTTTCTGTATTGTTCCAATTTTAGTATGTGTGCTTCCAAAGCAAGCACAGCCATGCTCTTTTCATTAGCTCATATGCATGTGGAAATTAAACAATAGATAAGGAAGACAGGAAAAGAATTGATGCAGTTGGATATAGCGTTGGAGAAAAATATTGAATGTATTGAAAGATAGTCATAATGCTTCTGAAAAGTGAGAGTGGGCTTCCACTGTCACCCATAACATTGCACAAACCTCCTGGTTAAAATGTAGGCTCTAGTATTATTCCCTCCTCCCAGTTTGGATTTTATTATTTACAATCTTTGTATCACACAGGCTGATGTGCTTCTGTCATGTGGGTTTGGCTGACTCCACACTTATATGGCCACTTGTTTTGAGATGAGCCTTTAAGACCCCAGATGATACCTTTTCTAATATCCAGGCACCATCTGATTTCTTCACCAGACTTTGCTATAGGACCCATATTTTTATTGATCTCATGAGGACGAGTACCAAGCAGGGCCACGTCACAAGAACTGATTTTATTATATTAGGGTTACAGTCAAGTGAGAAGTTTATATATGTCATTGGTTCACTTTAGAGACATCATTGTCATTTTATTGGAGTCCATCATAAATTATCCCCATGTGGTATATGGTAATGCTATTTATTTTAACTATTTTTTAGGCAGTGGCATAGAATTTAAAAGCTGTTACAAAAAAGAATTTAAACATGTGTAGAACATCTTATTAGACTTCAATAG